ATTGCAGCACAACTGCGGCGCCATAGCAGTTGACTAACAGCTTAACATCACCTGCGTTCCGGTCATGTGCCTGGGCCTTCGCCATATATAGAATCGTGGATACTGTGCTGTTTAACCAGTGAGTCAGTCAATTTCCATGACCGCTGATCCTTCGGGTACCGGGAAGAGGGGGGGGCAGACTCCTCTAACACTGTCTCTAACGTTCCGCTCATGTACCAGCGTTTGAGCTTCTGCGAAAGTTAACCAGAGTCTTTTAATCCTTTGATACACTTGCAACAGGGTTTTCATGAACGTCCCTGAGGTCTCGCCCGGTTGGTTCGGCACGTAGAAGCTGGTTCATATTTCTTTCAGAAGGTATTCGTAAGGTCTGCCCAAACCATCGTAGCTGTGATTTCTTTATATGAAGCAAACAGCTGCACCCCAAAGCTATCTTCATTGAGCTGAATCATGTTGAGACGTATGAGTCCAGTGAATCGTCGCAAAAAGTCCATTTCAGCCACAAGTACACAAGTTCCGAATTTCTCAGTCGGGGCTCACGAGTCATGACCGTAAGTGGGCATGGGAATGAGGATCGATTTGAACACACAGCTGAGCTTCAGATCTGCTCTGGTCAGAACGGTTCTAGCTAGTTCGTGCAGAACGCCGCTTTCCATTACAATTCCCCTGTCGATCGGTAAACACGTTCCGAAGAAGTGAAATTTTCACCTTCTCCTCTGCTTTTCCATTTTTTTTGGAAAGCATAACGTCTAGGAGGGCGAGAGACCCTGGGCTTACACATTTTGACGGGTTCACGCGAATGCCAGCCCACGTCGCACGTAAACCCTTTTCAGAGAATGCTGGAGATCAATGTCTATACATGCCAACAAAACATGGTCGTCTGCAAACATAAAATTTCTTGTTTCTACATCTGAAACACTCGTCGCCAAAGCACAATAAGCTTCTACCGTTAGTGATTGGTCAACGACCTGCTGACCATTTGTCTGGTGGCTAGACCGAAGCATAGTGATTGGTGTGAATCCCTTTCTGAAGTTAATCAGCGGTTAACAAGGGAGAATCTAAGCCTCGCATTACGTTTGAACTTGCACTCGAGCTTGCAAAGCAATTTATTGACCTACTGCACCACTGCTCACAAAATATATTGCTGAGTGGTCAAATACGCCACTTAACTTTGAGGAAGGAAAAGTTGAAATGTCAATATATGGTGATTCTTGATGAAGATTAATCTTCACCTATTTCAAGGCACACGTCCATTCTAACGTTCGAAGAACTACCATCCAGTCTGGTTGCCGGACACGAATTTTCAATCATTGGTTTGAAAAATGCTTTTCTGGCAATGCCGGTGGCTTAGCAGTCGCGGAAGTTATTGGTAACTGTAGCGCACTGTGATTTTTTCTTTCCAAGAAATGGGTAGTTGGAATCGTCGCTGATAAAGAACGGCTACCCGATGAAGACCTTTAATGAAGGTTTGACGAGGTGGTCTAAACAAAAAGCGTCTAAAAACTCACCTGATCACAAGACCTACATCACCTTGCCATACGTTCGCACACTGAGTGAAAAGCTGCGACGTATTGGATCTGCTTCCGGCCTCAACCTGATATTCAAACCAATTGCTACTCTACGTAGCCGCCTAAGCCACCACAAGACCAAGAATCCTATGGAACAAAAAGCTGGTTGGGTGTACCAACTCCCGTGCTAA